AATACCAGCACGCGTGACTGTTAAAGCTACGTGAGTGGTATTACAGGTCGCTGATCACACGCCCTTCCCTGTTCACTGTTAAAGCGCCCAGGGGCCGGAGACGTTAGGTGACTATTAAAGCTACCTATCGTTTCCGACACTATGGTAAAGACTCACGTGACTATTAAAGCTACGTGAGTTATACCCCGTACAACCGAGATTCAGTTACTATTGAAGCCCCGAATCTTTCTTACCTGTGTCTCTCACTTGTGTCGTTGTGCTGGATTCCCACCTTGAATTTATACCGTTCAGGAGTAGCTAGTCTATGTGGTACTTTATCAATTCTGTATTTGGTTAAGAATCTGATTGCGTTTGTTGAAATACACTTTTAGTTTATTTTCCTTTTAATTTATTTATTCGATATAAAAGAAATTGTTAAGATTTATTATATTAACAACCAAACAATTATGTCTAAGATATAATTTGTACGTACTTTTATTTGGCTTTACAGCCACTAGTAAAATTCAATTGTTAAGTTTTTTTCCCAATTTATTATTGCAAAATTTTCAATATTTCGATATTCTCCAATATATATATAATCTATGTGTACAAGATTTTAATTTATACATACGTTTTATTTTTGCTTCACTTTGACTTTGGTCAAAAAAAATTCAATTTTTTTAAATGTTTACAATTTATAACTAAAATTTTCTCTATATTTCGATTTTAACAAATATATAATTTCTGTGTACAAAATTTTAAAATTTACGTACTTTTTATTCTCACTTAACTTTGACTTTGGTTACAAGATTCAATTTTTTAAATGTTCACAATTTATAGATAAAAGTTTCAATAATTCGATATTATCAAATTTATAATTTCTGTGTACAAAATTTTAAATTATACGTAATTTTTATTTTTACTTAACGTTGACTTTGGTTACAAGTTTCAATTTTTAAATGTTCATAATTTATTAATAAAATTTTCAATAATTCGATATTATCAAATTTATAATTTCTGTGTACAAAATTTTAAATTATACGTAATTTTTATTTTTACTTAACTTTGACTTTGATTACCAGATTCAATTTCTTTTAACATGTTCACAATTCGTCAATAAAATTTTCAATATATATAACCTCTATGTATAATTTTTTTTTAACAAAATATTCTCACTAAGTTTGAAGAGTCACTCATATTTCACTGGTGACACCGCCGTCTTAGTCACGTACTTTTTAGCTGCAACGGAAACCAGAGCCAGGAGTCCTTCTTCCGCGGTAGAACAAACAAGAGAGCTTCTTCTTGGTGAACGATCCTTTTATCCCCTCCATGGTCAACGGTGTCAGCTGACAAAACGTTAAAGTTTGTTGACCCAACATTAAAGCTCCTTTTCTGTACCGCACTGAGCGAAAGTTCAGTTTCACGGCGAATTTACATTTCTTTGAGTACCTTTTATAAGTGGTTTTTGTCTAAGTTGTGATCCACTTCTACACCTTTTCTGCACAAAGCTTTCTTCGTTTGACAGGTCTCTTTACTATTATTTTGTTTTGCTTTCGTTTGTTTGTTAGCAATGTGTTGTGCCGGTGAACGTGTGTATTTAATTCTATTAATTAGAAAATTATTTTAAAATTGTTTTATTTTCCAATAAAGTTCCAGCAAAATAGAACACCCAACGATAGCTCAAGATATGTGTCTTATTTATTCAAAAATTGTTCACGCACTAACCAAGGATTTTCATACAATTTTAAGATTTGTCAAATTCAAAGTCACGTTGTTGGTGGCAGAGGATTGGGGTGAGTTGGTTTAACTTAATGTTTTTATAAGTATTTAACAATTTTTATTACAGGAACCTTCGAGTGAGTGTTACTTGTTGTGTGTTAGGTGGTCGTGTTGTGTTTAGTAGACAGCTATACCCACGACGTTGTAACGATCAAATTTTTGGTTGACAAAATTTTGGCCGTTACACTCCCTCCTTTCTTTCGGGAAACGTGATTTGCCCTGAACCATTACCTGCCAGCGTGATTTCTGTGACGTTGCTTTGGACTCTTATATATTTTATAAAAGTCGTGTTGCTCTTTGGTGTGATGATCGTCTTGTTGAAATACACTTCGCTGTTTCACTTGTTGTTGTCGACTTTGAATACTAGGTGGATTTTTCGATGCGTGATACTCGTAACATACTCCTACTTGTTTTAGAAGGCGGATTGTTTTTTCCTTTTGCTGTGGTAGTTGTGTTAATGGTAATGATTGGGTAAGACTAAGTATTTCATCATATATTTGACCTTTTGTTGAATTCGTTTTGATAATTTTATCCTTTTGCTTCCATGGTATTAGCGAAGTCTTTGACGGTGGTTGTTCTTGCGAGATGTTAAACACTTCTTGTACTGCGTGCTCTGGGGTATCTAGTAGCTGTTTTCCATCTGGACCTGGCGGTACATTGATAGGGCTTGCACTTCGGTGTCGTTGTACTTCTTCCATGCTACTAGGTCTTGAATCTTGCTGTTGTGCCACGTGCTCATGTATATCTAGCTGTTGACCAAATTCTGCTGGCATTTCGTTGAATTTAGGATTTGGTTGTCGTGGTATTTCTGGTATTTGTTTTTTGATATGTTTTAGATCTTGGTGCTGTGCTGCTTGTTCTTGTGTAGCTTGATGTTGTTTTACATCAGGTGCTACCATGATGGGACTTGGATCTCGGTATCGTTGCGCCTTTTGTACACTATTAGGTCTTGGATCTTGTTGCTGCGTTACTTGCTTCATTTGAACTTGTAATATTTCCTGTTTTTGTATGACTCGTGGTTGACAATACTCTGCTGACATTTCTTTGACTTTAGGACTTTGTTCTTGTTGTACTTCTGGTACTTGCACTTTGATAGGTCTCGAATGATGCTCTTGTTGCATTTGTTTCAATTGAACTTGCAATGTTTCTTGATTTCGTATTACTCGCTGGTTATTAAACTCTGTTGACATTTCTTTGACTTTAGGACTTTGTTCTTGTTGTATTTCTGGTATTTGCAGCCTGATTGAACTCGGATCTTGCTCTTGTTGCATTTGTTTCAATTGGACTTGTAATGGTTCTTGCTCTTGTGGAACTCGCTGTTGCTTAATTATTTTTGGATTTTCTGGGATTAGTTTGCGATCTTGCGGTGATACATGATGTTGTTCCGCGTCATTTCGATGTCGCACGCTTTGTGTTGATATGCTTGCTGCAGTAGTTGAAGTAAAAATTCTAGACGTTTCTGCAGGTGTTTGCTTGGCGATTGGCTGGTGTTGCTGCTGGCTGCGGAAAGGTGACTTGGAGACTGGACTATGAATGATTTTATCACATTTCGGTGTATTGGCTATGCGTCTCATGGTCTTCTGTATTATCAGCGGTCGTGCACATTCCACTGCTACACGCCCGAAGATTACCTCGCTATCTCGTGCTCGACTTACTTCATTCTGCTCTTCGCGTAGTTCTTCGAAGTCCTCAGCTAGTGCTATTAATTCCTTTAGACAAGTGAAATTCCGACGTTTGATGTATACTTGGTACTCTGTGCTCATGTTGCGATATACTCGTTCTAATTGTGACTCTTGATTTAAACCTGCGTGTCGCATTAGTTTTTGTAGTTCCAAAAGATACATTTTAAACGTCTCTCCTGGTTTCTGTAATCGGTTTCTCAGTTCGTCCTCCAATCGCTCGAAATATTGATGTGGTAGAAAGAATTTCAGAAAATCTCTCTTGAACGCTTCCCAGTGATTCCAGTCTTTCTTATTGTATCTAAACCACACCAAACCTTCTCCATCTAGTAACAGGGGCATTGTTCGAGGCAACATGTTCGTTGATATGGCATACAGATCCGCTAATTCTTCCAATCGCTCGATAAACGTCAATGGATCGCTGTTGTCATCATACCGGATCGCCCATTTTCTGACCTGGTCAATGACGCTTGCCTGTGTGTTCCTTTGAGGAAGATACGAGTGTACATCACATTGCGGATGTGAATGTAACTGCCTTGCTGTTGTATCGCTGATCATGCTATGTCGCTCTGATGTTTCACTATATTCTCTGTCGCGTGTATATTCCATGTTGCTTTCCCTGTGTTACGAAGTTTGTTATTTACCGCCGCAAGTCTTACATTATTCCGTAGTATCCAGCCCGAATTCTATGAGGTTCTCAAGTCATGTTTTCGTAAAATATGAAAAAAATATTTACGACCTGCCCATGTTAGTTGTGTGTATATCACCTCGTTATTGATATTGAAACAGTTGCTATTCGAGTCGTGAAGTGCTGGTCTCAGGGTCCCTGCTCGGGCGCCACTTGTAATGAACCTTTATTTTGGTTCGTTTAAAGCTGGGGTTTAACTCAGCCGTCCCCAAGGTCCACACAAGAAATTTATTTAGTGAGACCCTATCACTTCAAGTTTTCACGATGACGATGAACAGAACCGTAGGCCACCTGATCGAAACTAAACTAAATCGCTGATGAGCTGAGCTGATGTTATAAATACTAATTCGCCAGACAGCCGACACGATATAACGCAGACACACGTGACTGTTAAAGCTACGTGCGTTGTGTTATAGGTCGCAGGTCACACGCCCTTCCCTGTTCACTGTTAAAGCGCCCAGGGGCCGGAGACGTTAGGTGACTATTAAAGCTACCTATCGTTTCCGACACTATAGTATAGACTCACGTGACTATTAAAGCTACGTGAGTTATACCCCGTACAACCGAGATTCAGTTACTATTGAAGCCCCGAATCTTTCTTACCTGTGTCTCTCACTTGTGTTGTTGTGCTGGATTCCCACCTTGAATTTATACCGTTCAGGAGTAGCTAGTCTATGTGGTACTTTATCAATTCTGTATCTGGTTAAGAATCTGATTGCGTTTGTTGAAATACACTTTTAGTTTATTCTCCTTTTAATTTATTTATTCGATATAAAAGAAATTGTTAAGTTTTATTATATTAGCAACCAAACAATTATGTCTAATTCTGTACTTGGTTAAGAATCTGATTGCGTTTGTTGAAATACACTTTTAGTTTATTTTCCTTTAATTTATTTATTCGATATAAAAGAAATTGTTAAGATTTATTATATTAACAACCAAACAATTATGTCTAAAATATAATTTGTACGTACTTTTATTTGGCTTTACAGCCACTAGTAAAATTCAATTGTTAAGTTTTTTTTTTCCAATTTATTATTGCAAAATTTTCAATATTTCGATATTCTCCAATATATGTATATATAATCTATGTGTACAAGATTTTAATTTATACATACGTTTTATTTTTGCTTCGCTTTGACTTTGGTCAAAAAAATTCAATTTTTTTAAATGTTTACAATTTATAACTAAAATTTTCTCTATATTTCGATTTTAACAAATATATAATTTCTGTGTACAAAATTTTAAAATTTACGTACTTTTTATTCTCACTTAACTTTGACTTTGGTTACAAGATTCAATTTTTTTAATGTTCACAATTTATAGATAAAAGTTTCAATAATTCGATATTATCAAATTTATAATTTCTGTGTACAAAATTTTAAATTATACGTAATTTTTATTTTTACTTAACGTTGACTTTGGTTACAAGTTTCAATTTTTAAATGTTCATAATTTATTAATAAAATTTTCAATAATTCGATATTATCAAATTTATAATTTCTGTGTACAAAATTTTAAATTATACGTAATTTTTATTTTTACTTAACTTTGACTTTGATTACAAGATTCAATTTTTTTTTAAAATGT